TGTATACTCTGGATATTAATCCCTTGTCGGACGCATAGTTTGCAAGTAGTTTCTCCTAATCTGTTGGTCTGTAGGTTGTCTTTTCATATGTTGATAGTTTCCTTTGCTGTGCAGAAGCTTTTTAGTTTGATATAATCTCATTTGTTTATTTTTTTCTTGTGTTACCTGTGCTTTCGAGGTCTTATTCATAAAATCTTTGCCCGGTCCTAAATCCTGAAGTGTTTCTCCTATGTTTTTTCTAGGAGTTTTATAGTTACATGACATATATCTAAATATTAATCTCATCAAAGCACCAATGACATTCTTTACAGAAATAGAAGAGACATCCTAACATTCATATGGAACCACAAAAGACCTTGAATAGCAAAAGCAATCCTGAGCAAAAGAATAAATTAAAGTATTACACTCCTTGACTTCAAATTATACTATAAAGTATCCAAAACAGCATGGTACTGGCATAAAAAACAGACATACGGACCAATGGAACACAATAGAGAATGAGAAATCAATCCACGTACTTAATAGCCAAGTCATATCTGACAAAGGCACCAACAGCTTACGTTGGGGAAAGGGCAGCCTTTTCAATAAATGGTGCTCAGAAAACTGGATATCCATATATAGAAGAATGAAATTAGACCCACACCTCTCACCACATACCAAAACTTACTCAAAATGGATTAACTTAAGTATGAGACATGAAATTTTAAGATTATAGAAGATTAGGATCCCTCAAGTATTTGATTTGCTGAGTAGATTTTCAGAAAATCAATGTAGATTGATGTGAAACTAAAAGACTGGTTTAGTAAACTTGGAATAATGGAACACTATAACTGCATTTTTTATATTAGGAGATAGCACACAAGCTAATATTATAAATGTTTTAAAACCAATTTCTTGAGTATAACCTAACGATTTTGCAATAATAATTATGACTAATTATCAGCATTAAAATAACATTGTCCTATAATGTTTAACACAATAGACAATCTTGTTCAGAACTGTGGTTACTGGAGGTGGGAAAGGGGGAGGGAGAGAGGATTAGGGAGAAATTGGTTAATAGACACAAAGAGTGATTACATTTTGCAATGATGAATATGCTAATTACCCTGATTTAATCATCACATATTGTACATAAATAGTGATATTAAACTCTGTACCCTACAAATATCTATAATCAATTATGTTTCAATAAAAAGAAATTGAATAGAATCTTTTTTCAAACAAATAACCAGAACAGTCACTCAGAAATTATACCAGGAAATTTTGTTTTCCCTTTAATGTAGTTATATAAACAAGTACTTTCAGAATAGCACGTGGCTTATAGCAACTGAAAATCTACATGATCAGTCAGTATATTTTAAATGGATAAATCCAGAGAATAAAAGCTAGAGGAAACAACAGCAAATGAATTAATACACTTTCCCAAAGTCAACATACTATGACTATGCCATAGAGTGCCACAAGTGTTAAAATGTCAGACCCTGTTGAGTCTGAAAAGCCTGCTATATGCTAATTGACTGATTTAATTATCCACAATGTATACATGCATCAAAACATCATACTGTAACCCATAAATACATTTTATTATTTTTCAATTAAAATTAAAACTATAAAAAATAAATGCTATACTCAAGTACTAAGAAAAAAAAGCCTATTATAGGAGAAATGAATAAACTTGAAAAAAACAGAATACACCCAGTCAAACTTGTCTGAACAATAACTTTGTAGTTTGGAGTGGGAGAAAATACAGTCTATGAATTCTTCTGACAACCAAGTTGTCATTCATGTTTTAAATCAACTGGAAGGTAATATCGAATCAATAAGAGCTCAGTCTGTACACTTTTGTTTTCAGAAATACAGAAAACAAAGATATGTCTTGAAGAGATCATCATTCCTAAGTCTACCCTGGAATTCATTATACAGATGGAGATATTCAATTACATAAATGCACACACAGACACACCCTATCTATCCATCCACCCGTCTATCTATCTCCCTACCTAATCATGTATGTATATTTTTTTCCTTAGGAAGAAACTTCAAACTAAAAGATATTAATCTTTATTTTCTTCAAAAAATAAATTTTTAAAAATCAATGGTCATCAATATTTTGTGTAGCAGAAAAGGATTTTCTCCATTCTTTTTATTCTTGAAGAATCATAATATTGCCCACCTCTTGGTTGTGTAATTGAACAAGTTATTCACCTTATCTTTGCTTTTGTTTATATCCATATAAAAGCAATACAAAATTTAAAAACAATCAATGGTCATAAAATAAAAAAAAATTTAAAAGAAAACAAAATCTACAGTGATATACAATTCGTATCATTATAGTGGTGCCTCACCTCAGGCGTAAAAATCGGGGTTATATTTCAACCAATCTACTTCTTCGGAATGTTTGGATAATCTATTAGGAGTTGAGGCTGAAGGCCCTAAGCCCTCATGATATCATATTTAAATTAAACACATACATATAGACAAAACAAATATACACACACACAGAGACACACATGCACACATACACACTCATAAAGTACCAGAAAATGTACTGTTCTAAGCAAGGTGAATGCTCGTGGATACCCATTTGGACTGGTGGCCTTTTAGCTTGTTAATCTTTGGACAGAAAAGGAGTGAATCTTTACCATTCTAGCCTGGTAGCACAGGTATAGGTATAGCCTTTGTGGGTAGGAGAAAGAATACAGTTTACTACATGTCAAACTTATTTCTCAGAATATTTAATGTTCAAAACAGTATATAAATATTGACAGTCAAGACAGCATCATGAATCTAATAGAAATATTATCAAGGGTTTTGTTAAAGACCTATGTTGTAAGCATAAATAAAGCTAAGCTGGAAATCATGAATAATAAATTATGGGTGTAGGATTCACAAGAAATGGACTCCAACCAGAGGATCAATGCTCATAGAAAGGCTTGACTTGGCACATTGGCAAAACTTTGTGAGAATGAATAATTAAAACATTTAATAAAAATAAAATCTTAAATCATATGCATGCTGTTTAAAATTTTCACCTAAAACCAATTAAATAAACTGCAAAACTACTAGTTCTAAAATAAAATAAGAGAACTTTAGTGGCAGTCTTAGAGCTTATAAAATCACTATGTTCACTTCAGTTTTCTCTCTTGTTTGATTTTTTTTATTATATCTATTTTTTAAAATTAAACTTATGAACACAAAATAGGCCACATAAGGTAACAAGTGCAAAGAGCATCACTTCACCATCTAATACTTCATTGAGATTGTCTTTAAAATTATCCTTATTTGTAGCATTTGCTAATTTCTATGGTGTTAATCCAAAGAAGGATATAAAATTTTATCTATAAACGATTCAAGTTTCTTTGCCAAATGATAGGCATGGCTGTTATTGCAATTTTTATTTTAAAATAAAAAACATTCGATTTCATTCTGGAGTATAAAATGTGATTTTCATTCCCATCCTTAAAAATGGGTCTCAATTCATATATCCTAACTGGAGTGAAACACCTAAGGAGGAGCATTGGGAATGATAGGATTACAGTTGCAGAAAATTCATACAGACCCAGTGCTTTTCTTATAATTGTTTTTTGTCAGTTCACACAATCTTTTCATTCATTTATCTGTCTAGCTAGCTCTCCGAACTTTCCCTGTTCTATAAATGCCATCAGAATATTTTTAATAATATGCTTTCATTTATATATTTGGTGATGTGCTGGTAAACATTCTAAAAGCAAACAAGCAAACAAACAAACAAAGGCATGATTTATACCATTTGCCTATTTCCACATTATAAATACTCCCACCATGGCCAATTCAAGCTATTAACATAATGTCACTGAATTTGAAGTTGGAAAGACATGTAAATAGTGTATCTTAATGAGATGGAGCAAGCTGGCTTCAGCATAACACTGTGATAAATATTGCCTCCAGTTTGTGTTTATGCTAATAGTCTATCAGAATTTCTAAGGATTTTTTTGGTAGGTTCCAATAGATTTAATTTAAGAAAATAACAGTGAATCATTTTTAACATAAAGTTTTAAAGCAACAACAGACAAAATTTTATTAAACTATGAAATGGCAGAAAAACACTTTTTCCAAATAAGTATTTTATTCAGAGTAAAAATTAAAAGATTGCACCTACTTAATGACAAACAATGTTCATCATAAACAATGTCACCAAAAGCTTGCAAACTATGTTAGTTTGGAGAATGCAAATAACCACATTATCTGATTGTCAATTGAAAATTATCATTATGTATTTTGAGAATCCACCTGCAATATTTCACTGAAAGAAAATGACAAAATACGTATTTTATGTCCCATTAGCTACATCTGTAAAGTTCATTATTTTAAAATACTTATGATGTAATGAGGTGATTAGAATCTAAAAGTAGACAATGGGTTTAGCAAACTTTTTCTGTAAAGGGACAAAGAGTAAATATTTTAGTTGTTGCAGATCGTAGTCTCTGTTGTGAATGCAGTTCTGCTGCTGTAGCAGGAGAGCATCCACATCCAATATGTAAATTAACGATTATGGCTGTGTTCCAATAAAACATTGTTTACAGAAACAGGCAGCAGGTGGACTTCGCCTGTGGGCTGTCCAGTTTTCTGACTTAACCTTAGTGTGTACTGTATCATCTGTGAAATTTTGTAGCTTGTATTTCAATATAATTTTTCTTGGTATTTATGAAACATTATTCCAGATAACGAAGGTCCTCTTTTTTAAAAAAAATAAAATTGTCCCAGCCAGTAAAAAAATTTGACTATTTAGTGTTTCTTAAGGTGATATTCTCATAGCTAACCATAAGGACAATGCAATCGAAAATAAAATGAATATATTTGCAAACATATCTTTTACATTATTATATCAAAAGATCACAATTAACCAGAAGGAAAGAGTTTTACTTAGACAATAAAGAATGAGAAAAATTTGCATATTAAATTAAATTACATTTAATATGAATACACTCATTTTACTTTGCTTTGACATCACTTATTCTTACCTTCCATAAGTTTCCCTGTCTGTTCTGCACTTCCCCCAGGAAGAATCTTGGCAATATAGGCTCCAATTTCTCCGCCATGTCCAGGAATTTCTTTACCACCCACAATTCTAATTCCTAATCCATTACCTGCATGGAGAAATTAGCAAATTATTAGTAATAATCTAAGAAGGGACAATAGTCATCACAAGTTACAGGGTGAATGAAAAGTGGGACTGGTATCCAGAAGCTAAATACAACATCAATATTGGAAAAGAACACCTATAACAAAAATACATCATTCAGATTTCAATAATAGTTGATATTAAATAGGATTTTCTGGGATGTTGGTAGACTCTACAATGATTAGCCTGATATTAACAAATAATTTTTTAAATTCAGCCACATTGAATCATATACTAAGGCCTTGACAATTTTTGACCAGATTTTTTGTAAAAATTTTATGAGGATATTCTAGTGTAAGAAACTCCAGAGCATACAATTCACTTATGAAATCAAGAAGCATCTCACTTACAGAAAGGCAGCAATGGCTATTATAAATTAAGAAAGCACAATCAAAATATACAAATGATTGTAATTGATAAAGTGAAAAAATGATCATATCCTATTATACATTTTCAGCTTTAACTCATCAGCTAATATTGTCTGCGTACTATTAACATGGCACTTATAATGTCACAATATAATTATTCTTGACTGATGAACAACTTAGTAAACTATTTCTTATTATATAGTACAGATTTTTCTGTAATTAACCACATGAAAAGAGAGTGGAGAATAATTATTTTGAAAAATTTAATTGAGATAGATATAAAGTGTTGATATTTTTAGTTTCTATGAGTTTTTTTTAAATCAGCTAAACATTAACAAATGTATAGGACACCAGATATATTTTTGTTACAAATATCAAGGGTATTTTAAAACAGAATTCTTCATCTTTAATGAAGATGCAATTAATTATTTCTGTAAATAGAAATTCATTCCATTCAATAATTGAAGTACCATTTTCAACTCTTTCAAAACATCCAAATTTTAACAGCCAGCTCTTTTCCAAACCCTGTTCCCTTGACACTTGACTCTTCAAAAACAATCTCTGTGGCCAGCATCTACTCAGTTCAAGCGTTCAACCACCAGTAACAATGAATTACAGAACCTGTCATTTATCCAGCAGGGATATATTTTAGTAAAACATTGATTCTTCTTTCCAGTTAATGTAATGCTTTCTAACTTCCTTCCTTCCTTCCTTCCTTCCTTCCTTCCTTCCTTCCTTCCTTCCTTCCTTCTTCTCTATTCTCTCCCTCTCCTTCCCTACCTCCCACACCCTCTCTCTGCTTTTGACCAGGGTAAATGCTCTTAAGATTTAGCCTATAAGAACAAATAAAAAAGCACCCCCCCAATATATATAATAAAGACTATATGCCTTTAAGTGCCCCTTTGTTGTCAAAGGTTCATAGTTAAACAAAACACTAGCTCTCCCTGTCCCCACCTGTGGAGCTTTTCTGCCACAAATTTCTTTGTCCAGCATTAATGTTTTTCCCCAAAATTAATTTATGATACCAATTTGATATAACTGTATGAATGCAGAACATCTTCTAGTATATGTCTTAGTCCTCAACTAAGTCTGAGTAGAGACAGTTGAGTTCTTAGATATTAGCTTTAAGTAATAACCAGGATGGATTCAACAGTAAGACATTAGGTAGATGTGAGTAAAAGATAGCATATGAAGAAATCTTGTTAGCCATCCTTCAATCAATTAGTTTAGCCCAATTTCTTGAGTGTACCAAGGATATCTCAGGAAATATAAAATGAGGATTTTAAAAATAGCCAGTCATAATTAAAGGGCTATTCCATGAATTTTTTGCTTTAAAAAATGTAGATTTCTAACCAAAGATTTGTTTCACTTTCCATAGTTGAATTACCCACAAGCTATAATTCATTATTTATAAAAGGTTCCATAAAAACTCACACGAATACTGGACTTATAACACGGTTAGCATAACCCTATCAATTTTAATGCTTGGTCATTCTGAGATCCCAAAAAGTGATTCATGAGATATCCTAAATGTGATAATGTTCAAGACCATATCTCATATCAAAATTTCTCATATAACATAATTTAATATTAGAGTGTAAATCAATATTAGAGCATAGAAGAGTAAAGAGCTCAGGGTATTGGTCTTGCATATACCTTTTCAAGCTTAAAAATTAGAAGGTGAAACTATCCTATGAAAAATAATTTCAACACTATACATATATGGTGCAGTCATATACTTAGAATTAATAAATAGATATAAGATGGTTACATCTTGTAAATTTGTGGCTAAAAGTATAGTAGTGGAACTTCAAAATCTAATAAGTGACTACTTAAAAAATTTAGGTATAGTTTCATTCTGAAGATGACAATGTCTTGAGGGTTAAGTAGTTGGGTTTTTAGTGTCATTTGATTTTTGGTGACTGATCATACTCTATAAACCTTTAGTAAAGGACCAGTGATATGAAACTATATAGCCATCTTGATAAAGTGGCTCAGACACAATAATTATTTAATTTTGTAAACTACAGCTTCACACTAGTGAATTCAAGTACCCAAAACACTTTCTAAATATATTTCATAAGCATCAGTGTCTTTGGTAAAATGAAATTACATATAGTCATGATGATACCATGAGGAATGAGATTATATACACACAAATCACTTCAGGCACACAGTAAATTTTAAAAAATTACTGTTCCTTTTGCTGATGCTGTTGCTATTGTTTTTCATGTAGACAATAAAGTTGCGAAGAAATATTAAAAATGTGTGAAAGAATAGCATGGTAGAAAATATAAAGATCCAGGAAGGATAACATTTTTTGTTTACAGTAGTTGCTTGTATCCTAATTTGGATGTTATGAAAATGAATTGAACTTGTACAATTTCTAAAAATTTAAATCTGGACACTTTGACTTCACATTGCTGTAGTGGTACTTTGATATTTTATGCATTATAGACAAATGACCAAAAATGTTTCTATGAAAATGTAACACCCCTCCTCAAATCTAGAAAGCAGGATGCCAATAAAAGTTGGGACAAATTCAAGAAGCAACATTGATTTTGAACTGAAACGCTTAGAACTAAATGGGCCTTGACAAGTGATGTTTATAGTATCACTGTTTTTCAAATTTTGTCAAATTTTTATCAACATAATCTCCTCTTGCCTCTCTCCTGCTCTTCCATCTAGAAACATTGATAAAATGCTATGAAAATGCATTGTTCTTGTTCGTGAGTTTACAGTATGGCAGGGTAGAGAGACACGTGAACTCAAGGGCTACTATAGAGAACATAAGTCAAAAGTTATAGTGATTTCACAACATATAAGCATAGCGGTAGTTAAGGAAGTCTTACAGGGAAATTTACAATGCGGAAAACCAAAGTATGTTGAAATATTTATATAAAATTTCAGTGATAAAAGTAGCAAAACCACTAAGAAAAAGCATTACCTCTTCTAACCTTAGAATTAAAATTTTAAATGCATTGGTCTTTTTAAGTCTCTATGTATATTATCAGTATTTGATAAATATGCTATTATGTAGTCACTTTTAAAATAAGCTATGCACAAAACAAATGAACATCCTAAGAAAAAAATTTTGCACTTGCATTTAAATTTGCAATTTAAATCTACTTTAGTTTTATATATTTATTAATATGCTACATTAAAATCCCTGGTATTTTAGAGTATCACAAAGAATGTTTATATTTTCAACGTTATAATAATATATAAAAATATTATGAGGTTATAATTAGAGCTTTAAATTTTAACAAAATTAAACATTGGTTTCATTTCAATACTATCATTTGCTACATCCAAGAACCAAGGAAAAGCAAAATTTGTATTAGTGTAACTTATAAATACTAGTCTCTAAATAAATTGTTTTATTATTCATAATAAAGTTATCACAAAATGAAAATATATTGTGTCATAATGGTAAAATCCCAAAGGATAGTTCAATTAAATCTATTTTTTAAAATTTTATGTTAATTACATGCTCAAGTAAGGGTGTGAAAGTTTACTTTTATACTCTTTCACCTACTTATTTCTATATTATAAACCATCCATGTAAACATTTAGGAAAATAAACCAAATTATATTAAAAATCCACAGTAATCCCCCTTTGTGGCCTATAAATGATAGAATTTGTTCATTAATGCTCGAACACAAAGACCTGAAGAATATTTCACTATTTTCCTATATCTTTACTTATTTTTGTTCAATATAAGAAAAACATTCGTACAAACACACAATGCACATCAGTTACCTTAATAACAACCCATGCTTGATAGTTTCCACCAACATCAAAATGGAATACCACACTCATGCCAAGTCTAATTTGACTCTAAGCCTGAGCATTCAAATTTCAAACTCAATTATTCCTGCTGTTTTTTTCTTATTCAACAAGTTGCTCCAGGCATAAAAATTGCTGTTTAGTGTCCGCTTTTTCCTAGTTTTAAATATATATTCTTTATATACATTAAAGATTCAAAGAAAAAAATTCATATCATATTTCCATGAACTTGAGTTAATATTTGTCTTTTCTAATGTAAATACTATTAAAATATTAAAATGTTACATGCGATTCAAGAATATATAAAAGGATATTCATATTCACACCATACTTCATGAGATGAATCCAATTTGACCTGTCATATGACTAAAACAGACATTGGCATGTGATGGAGTTTGGATGTGTTGTCCCCTCCAAAGCATGTGTGGAAATTTGATCTCCAATGTGGCAGTGTTGGAAACTGATTAAGTCATGGGGGCGGATCCCTCATGAATGGATTAGTGCTCTCCCTGGGGGAAGGGAGATTATTGAGTGAGTTCTTGCTCTATTAGTTCCCGCGAGAGCTCGTTGCTTAAAAAGACCCTGGCACCTTCTCTCTCTCTCTCTTGCTTCTGTCTCTTGCTTCCTCTTGCCATGTGATCTGCTTGTACCTGCTGGCTGCCTGCCACTTTCCACCATGAATAGAAGCAGTTTGAGGCCCATGCCAGATGCAACTGTCCCAGAATCGTTAGCCTAATAAACCTCTTTCCTTTATAAATTAACCAGTGTCAGGTATTTCTGTTATAGCAACACAAATGGACTAATACT